TAGTAGAGGGAAGGAAAAAAGAACATGCTAATCAGATGAGGCTTTCTTGTAAAGCTGCTCATGGTGTGGTGGTGTGTTGCACTGCTTTGTCTCTAAATTAGATTTAAGCCTGCTTTTTAAAGAGATGTGCCCAGACTGCCAGCATTGAGGTTGGTGTGTGTGTTCCTGCATGTTTGTGTGTCTTTCCAGCCAATAATCCCAGAGGGTAACCATGTTTGCGTCATCTGAAGTCGCTTTTAGATGACAAGATGCTTGAAATGATATACTCATACACACAAAGCATAACCTCAGTGTTTTTATTGGACCTAGCCTTCAGGCTGCAATGCAGTACTCTTGTCAGGAGGACAGCCTTTTTATTTTGGAGAGAACCGACTAACAAACCTCCCCTCATTAGTTGCATGCAAATGATTGATTTTGATTAGATCTGAGGAAACCCACAAGTTTTTAAATGACAGTTAAACAGGAAAAAAAAAGAAACAAACACCCATAATGCTGCACATCCATATATTTCTTGTTTTACCATGATGTACGCTGCTTTCTGGTTTGAACTGAAAAGTACAAATAGAAGTCATGTTTATTTCTGTGCCGCAGACATTGGTGTCGTTCTCTGCAATGCATCTACCCACAATGCATCTACCCACAATGCATTGCAAAGAAGAAGCAAAAAAGTAGAACTCTGCAGGTGAAAAATAGTTTTTCTTTCATACAGAAACAATGACCTTGTATCTTTTGATAATGTCTTACTTTCAGTCATTGCTGTTCATCAGTGAATAGCCGCAGGATATCATGTATTTCTCTTTAAACATTTTTTTTTTTCATCTTCAAAAATTTCATAAAAAATAGGTATATAATGGGCTCCAGTTTTAGTTTTTGCATTTGTACTGACGGTCATCATCCAAATGAGAACTACTGCGTGCACAGACAGAGTTTCCATCCATTAGAGGGACTCGCTGAGAACTTGACTTTTTGTGGTTGCATAGAGGACGAGATGTACTCGGTGATGTGGTAGGCAAAATACTTTCTTAGAAATCTGGGATCTCTGTTGTTTTTTCTGCAACAGCTAAAATACAGAGTGTAATCCTTGCAGTATTTAAAAAAGTTGCTTGATTCTACTCTTTTTCATAAGTAGAAAAAAAAGAACCGTTACTCCTTGTGACTGTTGTATGAATAATAATCCCATTTGTAACATGTGTGTGTTATTTTAAGCTTGATAAACTGACCTGAACAAAAAACGAATACAGGCCAACTTATTTTTTTTGTTTGTAGTTAAGATATTATTGCACAGAACATGATATCTATTTTTCATTTTGGTCAGGATGACAAGCAGATTTAGTTTGTTCTTTGTTCAATCTGCTCAGCTTACAGTCAGATGCTTAGCAGAGAATCTGAATTACCTTCACAGAGATGAATATCGCTACTTTTGTCTCCATGCAATGAAGGTGTATCTGACAACTAGCAACAAACTCGATGGCCATTTAATTAGGTAATTCTGTGGAATCGTGTTTTTGCACAATCTGTGAATCATATCGCTGAAACTCTATGCTTTTACTTATCTAAAAGTGATAAGCATGATATAGTGAAGTTCAAATCGAGTATTAAAATGGGACTGAAAGAGGATTTAAGTGACTTTAAATTAGTGTAATTATTGATGGTATGAGAAACCTAACTTTCTAAAATCTTGCTGTACCTTTTTAATAGTAACCACTCCGTGCTGGCATGTACACTGCTGGCAAATATTAAGGAACTATGTAGTGTATAAGTGGCTCTTGTCGTAGATAACCACTAACACACAGAAATGCTATTGTGCTGTGATAATCGTGTGAAAATCTTCAATTCATTAATTATTCCACAACCTATATTTGCAAATTACACCTACATTAATATATTGAAGCCCTATGTGGAAACTCCTGCAAATCTCTAGGGCTGGATTTTTAGTTTTTTTTTAATTGCTTGTTGGGTAGTAAAAACCTATTTTGTGTTCCTTGTTAAGATTTAACAAGATGAAGAAACCAAAACTGGTTCATTCTTACAATGTAGCAATGCCATGTTTCCTCTAATGCTGGTTTAGAAATTGAAACGTTGCTGCAAAATCTATTTACAACCCATTACTTAATCTCGATGAATCCAGAAGCTGTAGTTGTTCAACTATAGCTTTATCGATTTCTTTCTTTTTTATGAGAAGGTTTCCTTTGCTTTTCATTTCTTTTGATAGACATCAAAACATTCACTCCTAACACGCAGTGCTAACCATCTTCTATGTGGCATGTAGTTGTGCTGAAGCAATATGTGTCTCTCCAGAAAGTTCCAACTTGTCCGGGCGCTGTTAAGAGATACAGTAACAACACTATTTGGTTACTTTGATTCATCTCAATCTCAAATGCCTTACAATCCCGAATACAGATTCCCAGCAGTCGATTCATTTCAATGCGGCCCGTAGTGATGGCCCAAGCATCAGATCAACTCTGCTGCCAAACATGTGGCTTAAGTCTCGTCAGGCTACGTTTCAGTCAGTGTCTCTGTCTTTACTCTTTCCTGACACAGACATCTGCATGTTGATGACTAAGGATGAGTTAGCAAATCACACGAGTGTATATATACACCACAGGACGTACAGTGCTGTGAAAAGTATCTATTCTTTCTCTTCTGTTTTAGCTTGTTTTGTAACTTATTTGTGTTTGTTTTTCTTTTCTCTATTTTGTTTTTGGGGGCTGGATTATAAAAAGCACAAGTAAATGTAAAAATCTTTCAGATGTTACTCATTTGTTACTGCCAAAACATCTGTCTGAATCAACCTGACCCTATGATATAAAGCAGCCACAGCAAAAATGTAACATCTGTTTATGCTAATGAAGTTGCACTTTTACGTCGTCGTGAAGAAATTTTGGTCCACTCTTCTGAGATGATTTATCTCAGCCACATTATCTTACGATGGCATTTTGACATAGCCAATCCAAGACTTTTAGTCTCAGCCAATATTTTTCAGTATTTAGCTGTTTGTTTTCATCATGCTGCAGTCAGCGCCTTGGTATTTGCCATTAAACGTGATTTATCTCAGCACAAGTTCATACTGGAAAATAAAAAGGCAATCTTTAAAATCTCCCATTTGCTGAACATCTCCGGAAGTATTTAGCTTGTATAACAGTGCCAGTCTGCTGTTGAATTAGTTTAACTCATTCATATCTCTGTGGTGAGATTTGAGTGGCAGATGTGACTTGAGTATCTCACCCATTTTAGAAAGAAAATCACACCGAAAGCTCAAGCTATTGATGTAGCAGCTGCCATGACAACGGCCTCTTGAATTAAGGTTATGTGGATTATTATGGGATGACTCACACACAACTATTATTATGTATACTGTGTTTGAATTATTGTGTATTTACAAAGAGCTGTGTGTTTTGTTTGGTTGAATTGTGACTTCGGGTGAAGAGGTTTTCTCTGTTTTGTGTGATGAATGGACACATTCCTCTACTCACTCTGCATGGTTATGCATGCATGATTTATATATCAACATTCAAAATGTACTGCTCAATGATGCTCTCCCATGGATTTGTCCCAGACAGTTTTTATGCATTATGGATTAAGATAAAGAAAAAAAAAAGAAAAAGTCAACTTGGATGTTCCAAGCTTTCCAGACAGGGACAAATAATAAATAATTGATGGTATATGCTGTATGAAACTTACACTTTTCCACTTTATAGCTGTGAGCAGTAGTAGGTTTCATTAGATCTCCCCCTGCACACACACACACACACACACACACACACACACACACACACACACACACACACACACACACACACACACACACACACACACGCACACACACACAAAGCCCCACTTGTGTGCTTCAGACTGGCTGTGATTTGGCCTTTTTTTTCACTACTGGTCCTCTAACTGGCTTATCTTGGAAATCCACTGGGTTTTTCAGGCCAGTCTGGTTGCTGGCGCCTCCCTCACATATCGTGCTTCTTTATGCCCTCTCAAGAGTCCTAATTCAGGCTGGAGGAACCCTGGATTATGAGTTCAGCGTGGTGGTGTGTGCATTTATTACCTTCAGGAGCAGAGAGGCTTTTAGCTGGCTTTGAGTTTGAATCCAGTGAGCGCATCATTGTTTTTGAGTAAACGTGTGGATTTGGAGTAGGTTCACGCTTTGACTTGTTAAACACCTGGGTCATCATCTTTTATGTCCTGTAACTAATCTGTGGTAAAAACAGTAGTTGTCAAATTTCAGTTTGCAGGGTTTTCTTTATTTTCTTTTGTTCAGAAAATCCCTTTTATGCAAAGCCTTGGATCGCACTCGTCATACACTTTCACATGTCAAAGAAAAATGACTTTGATATGTCATTTTTCTATCATGATGGGCAACGAGATTCAAATACATTTGTATATTTGAATCTGTTTAAACTGTTATTTTTCAGAGCAGATGGACTGATAATGCAGCTTATATTGTCAAAATATACAAACATGCAAAATTTAGATCTGTACTAATATTTAAGTAAATGTCCGTTAGTGAATAGCCATCGACTAAAGACTTTGCATCTATTACCGAGCTTCCTGCATGATTCGAGTTCATTTTGACACCCATTCTTATTATCAGGTGGATTTAATTTAAATTGTCTGGTTTCCTGGCACAGAGCTTTTGCGCTTGATTCATACATTTCTAATAGGTTTGATGTCAGCGTCGTTCCAAAGGTTTATTGATGGCTTCTGTTCTGACTATTTCAAACCCAATTTAGATTTTCCTGCTTTTAACCCAATTTTGTCCAACTTTCATGTTTTTTGTTTTCCTGTTAATATCAAGTTAATTTTGAAGAAGTTGCTCTCAATCTTCATTATGTGATCAACTGCTTGAACCTGTAATACTGACAACAAAACACCCCCGCAATAAGACACTGCCAGCAAGACGTCTGCAATTTGTCGCTGCTCAAAGAAACGTCTTTGAACTGTGCCTCATATAACCACATACATCTGGACCAACGTGCTGCTCTTTCTGTTTGCAGATTTGGATGAACCATCTCTAGAATTGTTTGACAGTGGTGTGAGGCAGCGAGACGCGCGCCAAACACTCTCCCGGCAGCCATGCCGCCGCCGGCAGACATCGTCAAGGTGGCCATCGAGTGGCCTGGGGCCTTCCCTAAGCTCATGGAGATAGACCAGGTGGGTGTCTTATAAGACACTGTTATTCTTTATCTGTTACATCTACACATCAGTAGAGTTAATCAGCTGATGATTTGTTAGCATTGTACTCAGAATACATGTTTAGTGTCAACACACTGGTGCACAGTAATCAGATTTTGTTTAAATAACAAAGACGCTTGTGGGCAACATGGAGGTGGGATCCGGGCTTAAAGCAGCTTTCCCATTTTTCTCAGTAATGAGTTTAATTAGCCCAAAGGTAGGGCTCTTAATTAAAGATGTCTCATGGAAAAACACAGCTACACAAGCACAGCTTTGAAGTTATTACACTGACTGTGACAATCAAGTTTTCTGTATGAACCAAAGTCTTTAAAATCCATTTTAATCCTTAAGTAGTCCTTGCACCAGTTTATTTTATAGTTGACTTGTGATTAAAAATATATATATTTTGGATCCCATAGTGAGAGTTGTTTTCATACTTACTGCAAGTTTATGCATACACCCAGGCAGCGAGTTCAGGTGTATGGTCTCACACGAGTGAGACCATAATCACTCTCAAACTATTTTTTCAAGAATGTGTTTATTGTTTGATCAATGTAAATGTTTAGAGATTTGATTTAGAAATTTAGACTTCTTAAAAGACTTCATATAATGTTAATGTGATGCTCTACACCACATTCTTACCATAGCATCAACAGATATTCACACTCAACAGCAGCTTGTAAATGGGTTGCATCTAAATAGCAAATACAAAAATAATCTTGACTGCTCATTCAGTGGGATTTAAAAAACAAGTTTGGTACTCTTTATTTTTTTTTTTTTTTTTTTCCTTTGTGGAAATTTCTCCCTCTAACACCCACTCAGACACAGATGAGCGCATTATGGACATGTTGTGAGGTTCATATTATTGGCTGAGGACTCATTTTGATTTCGTGACTGGTGGAGGCTCAACTTTCGAGCTACAGTAACACAGAATGAGCCTGTTGTGATGATTTGTGATCCAGCAAACCAAAAAGACTGTCTCCTCTTAGAAACAACAATTCGTCTTTATGGTTAGTTTTGAGACAATCTCTCAGTTATGCAATATTGCACACTTCCTCTAATAGGCTTTTGTTGCTATTTGGAAGAGCCATCAGTCATCAGCTGCTATGAAACTCACAGTGTGATAATTATGAGTGAAAATAAATAGCATATTCAGTTTTAAAGAGCGTTTGCTTTTATAATAGTGATGGGAAGAGCTATTATAGATCCCATACCTTACCTGTCAGAGCTTTTATTGGCCAGAAATATTTTCCAAACTTGCCATGTTGGTCTTTTTGTAAATAAGAAAAAGGCTTAACTGTGCGCGGGTATCAACATGTGGAGGAAGAGTAGAGTTCCCTTACTTAAAACACATTCACATCTTCTGACAGCTTGTTAAAATGACTTCAAACAATAAAAAAGAAAGTTTCGTAATGTCTGTATAACTATATCACTAAGTGGCCTGGTCTGCTGGGAAATCTAACAGCACATATTGCAAATCTCACCTTACCAAATCTACTTCACAAAGCACTTAGCTTCTCCTACCTTTCTGCACTGTCCTTGGCCTTCATGCTTTAGGTTCAGTGGTAGCTATGAGGCAAATCTGACTGCTTGGTTATAACTCCACTTAGTTGTATTTTTAGTTAATTTACAAACATTTTATCACATTTCTGATCATAAAATGACTTTACATGGTGCATAATTTTAATTACGTAAATGAAATTGTCAATTTGGGGTTTTGATTTGCTGCTGCAGTGGGAGCTGGACAAAAATTTAAAAGAAAAAAAGAAAAATTTGGCCTCAAATCTGAAAGTACTTGTGTTTAATTTGTCATCATTACATTCATTGAAAAGCTGATAACTGAACTGCTTTGAAGTTTAGCAATTTGCTTCAACACACTGGCTGCTAATTTAAGGTGAATATTAACCTCTTTTAAATTCTCATTATGGCCTGCTCTGAATGTCAACCGATGGTCGGTGTCTGACAAACAGTGACTAACTCAGTAATAAAATAATTAGCCCAAATAATGACTACCTCGCATAAAGAGGACACGTTTGCTGTTAGATTCCACATTCAGTGTGTAATGTTTCCTTTTTCTCTGTGCCTGTGTGTGCGCCTGTTTGTGTGTGTGCGTGTGTGTGTGCGTGCGTGACTCACAGATGGGTTAATTACTGTACAAGCTATGAGTCACTGAGGCAACTGGAGCTACAAATGCCCCTCTCATTGGATAATCCAATGAATGAAGCATTCAACTATGGAGTACTTGTGCTTCTGGTTTTGCTATGAGTCGTTTGGAAAAAATACAGAGTTTAGATTGAGGGATGTGCTGAGATGTTTTACGATCTACTTATTTATCTTACTGTAAAGTGGCTTTAGTATCGTTTTGCATCTTAATCTTGAATGCACCTCCGCTTTTCTCCAACTCTCTTATCTGTCATCTCTCTCTCTTGTTCCACCTTTTTCTTTTCTCCTCCTTCTTGTCGCTCTTTGCCTCTCTCTCCCTCTCATTCATCCCCCCTGCTCACTCCTCCTCCTTCCTTTGTGTTGTGACTGTGAAACTTGCGCTCTTCCTCTTCTTCTCTTGTCCTCCACCACCAGCCCTCCCCTCCCTTTCCTGCCTCTCCTCCTCCTCCTTCTCCACCTTCTTCTCCTTCTTCTCTTGCATCTCCTCGGTACAATAGGCCCTGCAGTAGCATATGGCTGTCTGAGTCATGCGATGAGGAGTGGGCTTCTGCTGCTGCTTGAGTTGTCTGAACCCAGCAAAAGATTGTTCATTTATAAGCGGGGGTGTGCGTGAATGCAAATGTGTGTGTCTGCTTTTGTTTTGTTGTTGTTCTGTTAATTGTTGATGTGGGTGCAGCCCCTTCTTATGCGATTTCATTATGTAGATGTGTTTGTATGGGAGCTGTTTCAGTGCGGATGCTGATGTGTTTGCAGTCATTTATGTTCGTATCCGGCTTCTGTCGGTTTTTGTGTTGTCTAATCATCTGATTGAGGTTTGCAAGTTCACCCTTAACGAGTGCTAGTTAAACACTCATGGGTTGAAACTTAATTCATTTTCATAGCTCACCACCTAAAATTCAGAACTTCCGCTCAACTTCTGATACTTGACCTTTGACTCTATAAAGGGATATGACCTCTAAAATGATGTAAGGCAGCATGTAGGCTTTGGCAGCCTCTTTATGTCTGCTTAGTTTTGCAATCGTTCACATCATTTTCCTGCCTAATTTGAATACTCCACTGCATTCGTCTTTAATTTCATTGGCATATGGAAAGATACAAAATAACAATTCAGTCTCGGGAACAAAGATGCGCCAACAATGCAGATTGTATTGCAACACTGTTGAATTCAAAGCATTTATGAAATGAAGAAAAACATAAAGACGGCCAGAAAATGGGTTTATATCATGTTGTCTTTGAAAGACTGGAGTTTCGGTGCCCTGTCCCACAGCGCGCCAAAATGTCCTTGAGAAAAACAATGTTCCCTGAGCTGCATGCGAAATCTTTTTTGGATATAAAAGTGAGAATAATTAAAGATTTGCATCTAAAGTGTAATAATATGCACACACATCCCACAGGCAGCACTCTGCGTGTCTGTATTGCAAACTCCTTATAAGACATTTGGCAAAATACAGCGAAACAACAAAAAAGGGAAATAAAAACAAGTTTATTGTCAGTTATCATTGCAAAGGTTTCTCTCCTGCCTCTTTGTATTCTGAGACAATGACAACAAATTGACATTTCAGAGGAGACGCGTATGTAGAAATATATTTAATATCCGACTCAAAACATTTGCACTTTCTCAAAAATGCTGATAAAAGTGCAAAGTAGTGTAGTGTTTATGAAAGGGTTTTGATGGGAAAATGTTTTTCAACCAAAGGATGGGAAATAGCTCTCTGTCCCTGCTGTTATTAATTACTAGATAAAAACAATATTTGTAACCTATAAGAAAATGTGGACATCAAGAAATAGGCTGCTGATGTCCCGGTGAATAGTTTTGCTTTGAGGTTTACATGCACAAAAAAATGCTGCAACTATTGATCTGATTTGCAGGCTGAACAACAGATTTACTTCGCTGTAATGTTTGGGCTGCAGATCACTGTTTACCTTCAAAAAACCCAGCCATAGTTGACTTTCTCATTTGACCCAATACATATTTATATATTTTTTATCCTGCTTTCTCAGTTCTTAGTGCACTCCACTGCAGGGCGTACATCATAAAGCACAACCCTGCTGAATTATAGGACAACAAAGCAGTGCAGCCAAAATACTAAACTGTACATCTATGCATAATGACACAGAGGCTGCAGTGATCCAAATCACCTAATTCAATTATACCCTGCTCCGTATGCGACCTTATTTACTTTGTTTATCAAAAAATGCAGTTTAGATTTAGAGGAATCTGAATGTGAATGTGTTCCTCTTTGAAATAAACTTGAATTATTTCAAAGAGGAACAAAATAAATTTAGCAAATTCTAAAAAAAACAAAGAAATGAAAAGACTCATCCTTCATGCAAGCGATGCCCTTGCCACGATCCAGGAATCTTTCAGGATCAGGAAATATATCTGACTTGACACATTTAGTTGAAACCAAATATTTCTGTACACCGGGGGAAAAGATGCATAACTTTTTTTAATATTTGCATTGAATCCTCCTGAACATTTTCTCTTTTAGGTGAGTTAAGATCACCAAAATAGTCAGTATATGCTAAATGCCTGGATAGTGAGATTTTTTGGAATTACTCGTTTTCAAACCCACAAATTTACATTCACTACGGTTAATAAGTCTTTTCTAAAATGTTTCGGACAGACTAGAATATATGACTTCACGACATCTGACATACTCAAAAATACTATTTCTTAATGTAACATTTAATAAAAATGTGATATCACATAGAAAAATCTGAACCTCATTTAAAAATATAAATATGTCTGTGCCAAATGAGCAAAATGAAAAGAGCTGAGGAAAATAACCGAAGCTGGCTTGAGAGTGCCATTATTCACAATGTAATGAGACCGGTATGAACAAAGTTTAAAAGGAAACTATTAGTATTCCCAAAAGCAACAAAAGAATCTAGAGTTGTGTGCAAATGCATTCAGAGGAAAAAGGGGAAAGCTTACAAATGTGAGAAGACCGTCTTAATAATTATGGGAGTGGCGACATCGTGTTATAGTGGTGCTTTGCTGCAGAAGGGACTTGTGCACTTAAAACATGCATTTTATGAGGAAATGCAATGTAGAAATATTGCAGCAACCTATCAGGACATTAACCAGTCAGTTTTTTGGTTCTCACACAGCTCTGAAGTCAATCCAAGAGAACAAATCTGACTTATTTGCATCAGTTATATATGACACAAAAATGTGCTTTATTTAGTCAATTTGCATGTTTTTCTCATTTTTTTGTAAAGTTTTATGATTTTGAAAGTATTGTTCCTCACCAGTGTTGTACTGCTATGGAGCCGCTCTGTCAGTTCTAAACTTTGATTAGCAAATGAGACATTGGGCACCAAATAAATTAACACTAAGTGAAAAGTCTTCACATTTTGTTTTCAATGGAAAAATAGCGAGTTATTTAAAAGAAACTAAATTGTTTAAGAGCAGACTGAGCCCCCACGTCCACATTGTAACGCCTTCTAACAGCTTCGTTGGGTTTGAAAACTAAGATCAGAAGCTCTGAGTCTCTTTTGAACGCCTTTGAAAACATCCAATAAAGTGTTACTGTTATGAAAAGTTGTTGTCTCTCACCGCCTCGTAAGATTCGGTCTCTGAATCTGCTTTGGATTTTGTTCGTTTGTGGCATTTCAAAACGGTTGAAAAATGTTTGTTTGTTTTTCCATCTGGAAAAGGAAAATTGGAAAAATATTTGCGTTTACGGTTGTTTATACCCATCATATTGTATAAATGTTGTGTCCCTTTGTCTCTCCACTTGTGTCTGCCTCCTTTTTTCTTTTATTCTGGTATCTTTCATTTATTGTCTTGCCTCCATTTTCCTCCTTTCTTTAATTTTTATTTCTTTAGCTTTTCTCTTTAGTCCATTTAATTTGACCTACTTACTTTGTCTTCCTGTTGTTTGATATTTCTTTGTGACATTTGCACCTCCCTGCTTTTTTAAATTTCCATCCAAAACCTTTCCTGAGTCCTTTATTCTGTCATTCCTCCTTTATGTTCTTCTTTGCACACATTCTTCCTTGTGTTTTTCCTCCTCAGCTCTGTTTTGTGCAGGCTAAATACTTTAAAGCCTTTCCACTGTAGTTTGTAGTTCGAGTGTGAAATCTCCCCATAAAAAATGTAGAAACTGTGGGTTCGGTAACAAGTCTGCTGACGTGTACAAATCAATACAAGTAAGGTTTACGTGGGATTTGATTGGAATTTATTAATGTTTACAAACACAGCTTAGGCTATTGTCGATTTTGCATTTTGATTATGTGCTTTAAAACTATCTGAAACTGAGTTTTAAAGCTTAATCTTTTCTGTTCCCTCTTATTCTGTCCACATATGTTCCCTAATCTAAGTCAAGAGACATGTTTCACTTTCGATTGCTTTTTTTTACTAAAGTTTTTTGAGGAATTGAGAAGTTGCGGTGCCAAGATGCTGTTCATCTTAGCATGGTGCTGCTAAGATGAACAAAAAGTTTTAAAATTAAGAATATGAACTAATGTGCTCCTCAAAGCTTCTAGAGGCAGAATTCCTCTGCTGTGGCCTCAGACGGTCTTTTAGCACAGCATAAAATAAAAGAAACGGAGCAATAGATTACACATGGTTGGCAAACTCAGAACAGCAGTAAGACAAATAAACAAGATGAACAGTCTCTCATTGTTCCAGCCCTGCTGTTTGAAATAATTGCAGCCCACTCTGGATTGAGTGGAACGTCAGTCTGGACTGTGAACCTAATGTAGTTTTGTCTTTATCCACAGAAAAAGCCTCTTTCAGCCATTATAAAGGAAGTGTGTGAAGGGTAAGTGTGCTGCATGCATTGGAAAGTGCTTATTTTTCATAATACGTTTTTGAAATGCTATTAGGTTCAAAATTTTCTTCACCTTTTAATATCAGCTAAAGTGTTTTTATTTTGTTTTCAGATGGTCTTTGGGGAGCCATGAAACCTATGCTCTGCAGATTGCTGATGCAACAAATTTCTACATCACAGAAAAGGTTTGGTTGTCAGATTCTTTTTTTTTTCACTATAGCCTCCATCTGGGACGAAAGAGAAGCTATGAGTGCATGCTAATTTGTGCTTCCGTGTTGGAAATCTTCCACAGAATCGCAATGACATAAAAAATGGCTCCATCTTGCGTCTAACCACGTCTCCTGTAAGTTTTAACTTCTCTAAACAACACTGAATTAAAAAAAAAAGAAAACTAAACAACATTCTAATTCACTATGAAATTTTGCCTTTTCTCCTCTAGTACCAGACGGCCCTCCAGCTCCATGAACGGATCCAGTCATCCAGCATGGATGCAAAGCTAGAGTCACTGAAAGATCTGGCCAACGCCTCCAGGGACATCACCTTTGCGCAGGAGTTCATCAACCTGGACGGCATCTCGCTGCTCACTCAGATGGTGGAAAGTGGCACTGAGTAAGTTAAACTGTCTGCTCGTCTTACGCAGTGTTTTCCTTTCTCATAAGATAATTTTTGTCTCGTCTCATTTTCCCTAACGTGTTTTCATTTGAATTTGGAAAGAAACCATTGACATTTATTTACATTTTAAAATAAATGCTCTCCAAGGTTTTAAGGATGCTAACTCAAGTTAATCCTCTGAATGGTTTTTTTCATTTTTTGTTTTCATTTATTGATTTAAATCCATGACACAGTGGTCCACATTTATCAAGCACGCATGCAGATGAAAATCGGATTTTCTGTACAGTCATTTCAGTGAACTGGAATTGTAAATATATATTTTACAGAGAACTACAGCAGAAGAAATGCAGACTGATTAAAACTGGTGGTTCCCATAACCAATTCATAAGCTACGCAAGTTGTCAGTGCAGTCGTGTAGACGACTCATGAAGTTAACATGGAGCTGGATTTAAGAAAGAAAACCTGGCCCTCTAGAGTTATTGGAGTGCAGAGATTATTTTGGATAATAGCTGTCAGGGGCTCATGGATGTATTTGTTTGTGGGGTATATATCAACACTTTCTGCCACTTGTGTGACCTGTCCAATATTCACTCACCTCAGCAAGCCAGATGCTTGAACTTCACTTCTTGGTCACACTCATAGAGCACTGAAATGCTGTAATCAGACATTTCGTTGACCCTTAAACATAAAAAGCTCTCCAAATGATTAAATAGAAATTGTGACTACACAGCAAAAGCAACATACTCAATCCTCTAAATTCAGCTCAGCAAACAAAATCACCTTTATTTCCTATGCAGCAGTTGTTTTTCAGTACACCAGCACACCTAGCAAGGTAAAGTGTCACCCAGGTGTGAAAACAGAAAGTCTAGAGAAAAGGTCCTGTGAGTTTAATGGACGCTACAAGTTTTGAGATCTGTGAAGATTTGTGTTATGTAGAGGAAAAGTGTCTCTTTAAACCATCAGGGTTTAAAGTTTATTACTTTCCTAAGGTGAAATTTATCAACATTTTATGCTTGATGCAGTTTTCATTATTCAACTCTTTGGACTGTAAAGAGAAAATTGATGAAATCGAGAACATCACACAATGTCAAACACGTTCCTAAGATACTGCTGTGAAAATCTAAACCTGCTGTGGAGAAGGAAATCACGCTGTCAGGTTCTGTCACACTCTACGCAGTAAATGTTTCAAAGCAGTTTGTGCCGGTTTTTAAAATGATACTGCTATTTAGTTTGCTTCCGAGGTACATGGAGGTTCAAATTGAGTGAGTTAAACGTCTTCCTTTCTGATGAAACACCATAATGCTCTCCGATTTCTACCTTCCAGCCTTTTTGGTTATGTGGAAGATCACTTCTTAATTTAAAATTCAGAAGTTCAAAATTAACAAATACTTGCCTCTATTTAGTGTTACTGTTCAGAGCTTTTACACTGGCTAGCTCTGCTCATGCTCCCGGCTCTTTGATTACATATATGTTTTATGTTAATGACTGCTTTAGTAATTCGTGTGTGTGTGGGTAAAGGAAAAGATGCCTTGCGAGTGCCTCTGCTGCTCTTTCATATCAACAAAAGGAGTTTATTAGACCCAGAAATGTAGATAGATATCAGAAACAAACACTCTCACACTCATTAGTGGGCCTGGCAAACAACTTGGTGAACTGTAATTATTCAAGCGGCACAATTCTTGAGGCTACTGAGGGCAGAGCCGCTGTTTGATCTGATGCTTCTCCCAAAAGCGTGAGGCCTGCATTCATGTGGAAATCAGCTGATGGGATGCTGCTGCTGTCCACCAGAGCTGTGCTACGTACAAGGAGATGTCGCCCTCTACTGACAAAACATGGTGTAGCAAGTTATGTTTTTTTCTTTTTTTAAATATTAAAACAAAATAAGAAAGAGCATATCTAATTTATTTCACTTTATCTGTCTGCAATGACAGAATCTTCTGCTGAACAGCTAGAGGCCTGAATTTGTTGGCTAGCCAGAGCAATATCAGTGCATTTTGTTTCATCCCACCTCCAATGTTATTGCATGAATGTCTTCTTATTTATTTGTTTATTTATTAAGGATAACTGTTACAATTATACAAACTCCTTTGAGCTTAGAATAGCCATAGCAACTCCAAGAATAATTGTAAACTTGAATAGCAGATGTATTTCTTTATTAGCCATACTTTGTTATTTTATCTCAACTTTAATTGAAGTCATTCTCAAAAGGTTTGCTGATATCAAGAGGATTCCTGAGATAATCCACAGACTTCTTAGCGCTCTGCAAATGTACACTCAAAGCACTAAAACTCTTGAATTATTTGAATAAAATCAATGAGTTTTCTTCAAAGAAATGACGTAAAATTACACTCAATAGCACAATTGTGATTAATTTGGGTAATTTAAATAGCAGAAACTTGTCAAGTTTTAATTAAGTTGTTCTTTTTTATTGTCAGGTTATTATATTGATAACATAGACAACTTCAGGTATCTTTCAAAACAGAAACAATCTGTCAAAGGTTTGAAAACAAAAGCTTTTCAGATCCTTAGGTCTGAAAACTGGTTGATTCCTCCAAACATCGTGGGCAAATACCTACGTTTTTGCCTCCGATTTAAAATGTCATTGAGCTTGAGTTGTTCCTCACACAACTCACACTCTGAGTGTGAGTTTGAGTTTGAGTTGTATGAGAAATTTGCAGTTATTTCTTCACAAGTCTCGGTTTTGTAATTTTCAGAGTTGTATGTTTTAAGATCATTCCCGCCTGGAAAAAGAATCATCTATGTGAGTCATTAATAACCCAAAAATGGAATAAAACTGTTCACTCATAACAAGTCAATGTAAACTCCTAAAGGCGACTTCATGTCTATTTTTGTCCTCTTTTCCATTTTTTTGAGGCATATTTGCAGCACAATGTGGCTTTTAGGCTCGCTTTGAAAAAATAACGTTTGCCGCTGACTGCATTTTCATCTGATGTTGCTTTGCATGCTTTCAATATCCCAGCAGATTCACAGAACAACAACGTGTTTAAGTATTAAAATTTGGATTGAAACACTTCAGTTTAGCTTCATCAGAACAGTACATGAAGCGTATTGTCACCTGTCTTGTGCCAGCTCTAGGTTTTGTTATGTTGTCTCCCCTCTGTGACACCAAAGTTTCTCAAATCTTTGCAGGCGCTATCAGAAACTTCAGAAGATTATGAAGCCATGGTAAGCCCCCCTCCCTTTCCCGCTCCGTCTTTCGGTCGGGTAACACCGCTGGCTCTCTTCTCTTCCTAACCTCGCTGCTCGAGTCTGCATGATTAAGACTCTGGCCTCGAGGGGAATTTTAACTCAGGCTTCCCCCTTTTATTTATTTTTTTTAAAGAAAATGCTTAATTTTATTTCCTGCATGTGGTTTGGGCAGCCAGTGACAAAAATTGTTTACGAAAAAAACAAAAGAAAACCAAGATTTTGTTTTTTTTCCCCCTAAAATTGTACCACTTTTACCCAAATGTGTGGTTCAGCTGTTTGGTCTTCACAAAGAGAGAAATTATGCTCCTTTACGTGTTTGCAAAACCTAGCGAGTAGCTAGCTTTTTTTATTTCATGTGTTAGTTATTGGGATTTATATCTTGGTTCTCTTTATAAAATGATCCTCAGTTTTAAGGGGTTGTCCAAGCGCTCACATCGAGTCCTTCATTCAGCTTCTCTTTGACCTTAATGTTGTTAGTCTAAAGCTTTTATCATCACAGGGCCATCCGCCATCTTTCTACAAGGATTGTCTCTTTATTTGCTTCAAGTAGTCTTTAGTTTTAGCATTTTCATCATTTCTTATTTCTCTACATTTTTTGTATAAGAAAAAGCTGTTTCATTTTTCAGGTGTGAGTTACTAATTTTCCATGAAACTGTTTTCCAATTCTCTGCTGTGCAGCGGTAATTACTAACCTGCTATATTTACTTTTTAGAGTAGGAATGCTTATGACATCACTGACTGTCCTTTTAAATCTCTAAACTGCAGAACAGATTTTTTTGCCCATAAGGCTTAATAGTTAGCGATAAGGCTTAATAGTTAGCGATGATAAAAATAGACAGTCGAAACAGATCGCTGCGTAGTTTAATTACTGAGGTAAATTAATTTATTTATTTATTAGGGACAGTGCACATTAATGAACAATCAATACTTCTGTACAGACTGTAAATGAGCCAGATTATAGCATAGCTGCTAAATGATCCTAACAAGTGACCATTGAAGATGGACACCAGCCATCTGCGACTCTGCAAGGATAAGCTATAGACAGAGGCTGGCTGGATAAAATAAATTAACATTTGATGATATTTCGTTTTGAGATCCATCTTTTGGTGTTCTTTTGGTGTTATTTTCCATTAATAAAACCAGTTACCATAAGAAGGTTAAGCAAGGTACAAACAGCAGAGGTCAGCATTGCTTCACTTTTGGTGAAACCAAATTATTTTAATAACGTTAAACCTTTTACTACAATTTATTTTTTTTTACTTTGAGAAAAGTAATAACAAATCCCTGGTTATTTAATTAGGTCGTTCCTGCAGGTTCATGATAATCAGTTATCTAATATGTTTTTGCTTTGGCTTCTTGTCGTGCTCTCAGCCTCATCTACTTAATTTACGTCTGCGTATATTTGTGAAACTGCATCTGTCCTGTGAAAGCAGCCCCTCTGGTCCTGAATGAACTTCTTCCAGCTCCTGCTGATCTTCTGACAGTCCTGCTGTTTGCTGACAGCCATTCTGTCCGTGCTTGAGCTCAAAACTCTTTCCCATGTCTCCTGCTACTTTCGTTTCTACTTCTGTCTCCAGCGAGCCATTTTGCAGCCTGGCATTTTTTTTTTTTCAGGTCGCATTCTGCTTCCTCTCCGCCACCTTTCTCTCTCTCTCTCTGCTGACCGCTTGCTTCTCGTTGCTTCCCGAGGCATCTGGGCTTTGCGTCAAAATGCTGCTCTTTGCCAGCTGGTGTAGAGAAGTTTTCCATTGTTTACGTTTGTTTTCTATCCCGTAGTTTCGGTGACCTGCTGTCCTTTACTCTGACGGCCTTTGTGGAGTTGATGGACCATGGGATTGTCTCCTGGGATACATTTTCTGTGGCCTTTATCAAAAAGGTCAGCCAGGAAAATGCCACATTAGCCAGGCTCTAAATTTATTGGGAGCCCGTTATTTTTAGTTTTTTTTTCTTCTGTTTTACTCCCAAGTTGTTTGTCACAACCATGATGTGTCTACACCATAACTGACAATTTACAACATTTTGTGAAATAATCATTTTAAGATACTGTAAAGCTTTCATGGACATGATGAGCTACAATGTGGCCTCCTTCAGAATAACGTCATATAAATTTAGGTAGTTTGGCATTTTGTCAACTCCATCAGAGTTTTTCACTGACTCTTTCATAAATGGCTTTACTTCACATGTATCAAGTATTTCTTTATACTCACTAGTTTGTCACCACCTTCAGATCTGTGTCATGTACTATCAACTCTGTCAGAAGGACTTTATGTTGTTTTTTTATTTTAAATAATATTTCTTTTGCTTCTTGAGAAGCATTTGTCTGTAAAATTGAGTAAACATGTCACTAATAGGGTCATTAAAAAATAATTTCATATTTTAGTTTTGTCAAAGTTCTGGGTCAGGTCCATTAAAAATATAATTTTCAAAAAAAATGTTGCAACTGGGAGCCTGCACCTTGCCATCTTTACATTTCCAAAACATTATTTGTCATATTTGAATACATGAGGAATTATAAAAATTTTTGGGGGGGACATTTTAACCCATTTTGTCCCACTTCTCAAGAATCACTGTTAGCTACTTTACTTTCACTTCATAACACTTAACTGCTCTGGTAGTGTATGTCATAAAATCCCACAAAAAAAAAACAATGTAGAAAAGTGACAAAATGTAGAAAATGTTCAGAAGGTCTAAATACTTCCTGCTACCGAGGTACATCAGAGAAAGTTAAAAGTAGACTGACTATTTTGCATTGTTTAAAAACTCTGTGTTCTCTGATGATCTAAAGATTGCCAGCTTTGTGAACAAGACCGCCATGGACACAGCAGTGCTGCAGCGTTCCCTGGCCATCCTGGAGTCCATGGTGCTCAACAGTCAAGATCTTTACCACAAGGTGGCGCAAGAGATCACGATTGGACAGCTCATCCCACACCTTCAGGGGTATGAAATGCAACAGTTTTTAACTGTTCATGACCCAGTTTTCATGAGTCATTTTAAATAAAGCACACCTTTCCTTTGATTCCAGGACTGATCAAGACATCCAGACCTACACCATCGCCGTTATCAATGCTCTGTTCCTCAAAGCTCCAGAGGAGAAGAGACAGGTGAGGGTGCCTACTGCTCCAGTTGCGTGGCGTCGCCATCCCCAGCAGTTTTGTCATGTAACTGTGAAACGAACAAATGTGTGACTTTGTGTGTGCTTTGGTTTGCTCTGTGTTCGACGATGAGAACATCTGTCTCTCCCTTCGTCGTTGCCAAAGTGATGTTCATTCTCTCATCTCTCCCTCTCACCTGCAGCCAATTACACTCTCTCCACGTCAGCACCACAGGGCCCAGTGATGCACTTTTCACATTAATTATGAATGACGCTAACTCGAGGGCCCGTCTCGTGTTTAGCGCTCGGAGCTGAAGACATGTTAGGCGGAAAAAGGACGCATACAGATTCTAGTGTTGCAGTGAAAGCCTTCTTTGGTACTTTTTTATTGTTGCTGTTTGCAGAAACTTTTTTTCTGGGTCATCAGGCTCCATTTATAAACGCATATAGAAAACTATGTGTCCACGTCTATATATATTTTTGCAGATGGGCAGTTTCCAAAATGCAATGTTCTCTTGTTGCTTATTTTAAGAGTGTGAGCGTCAAACAGCACCTATTTGATTGTTCGTGGTGTATGTGTGCGTTCAAAAGGACCTCAACCACCAGTGAAGCTATTTTTATGGAGTGCAACCCTCCTTCCTCCATCCCCAACAGAACCACAAACTGCACCACTGACAGAAATTAGATTTATTTTTCTTTTGACTTCACCCCACATTCACTCACTCACCCTCTCTGTCTCTGTTTCTGACCTTGCTTCCTCACTGCACACGACATGGTAGTTTGATGAGAACATTGTGGACATCCTAAATTGTCCCCTGACAGTAAGTGCACCCTTGATTAGCACACTTCGTAGTTTGCATTGTAGAATATATCCGCTAGCGCATCTACTATCCCCTTTAAGTTTCTGTCTCGAGCTTCTTTTTCTTATTATTTTGCAGCCTGTCACTGCGTAAACTGCCATGAACTCCTTATTCTTTTCATTTTTGCATAGAAAATCTTAAGATCAGAGGTTTGCCTTGATATGTTGTCTCACTTTTATCACTCCCCACTTTATCTTTTCTCTCTTCTTATGTTCTTTTTCTCTATTCCTTTTGTTCCCTCCTCTTTTTTTTCTAAATCCACAGGAGATGGCCCACATTCTAGCTCAGAAGCAGCTACGCTCCATCATCCTCACTGTAAGTTTTTCTGAAACTCTGCAGTTTATTCCCAATGTTTTCAGATGATTTTCCCTCGTCTTCTTTTTTGTTTACCCCCAAAATCATGACTTTTTCCTCACTTTGTTGTCATAAAACTTTCCACCTTTTCACATATTCTATTTGATCAAAACTCTTCCTCTATCTTGATGTCCTCATGCAGAATGTAATCCGGAGCCCCACACCCATTAATGATGAGATGGCACATCAGCTGTATGTGCTGCAGGTGCTCAACTTCAACACGCTTGAGGATCGCATGATGACCAAGATGGATCCTCAGGACCAGGTTTGGATCCCACTGACAAAATCTTGAAATTAAGAGAATTAAAACGTAAAAAATATAAAGATATTTTTGTTTAAAAAAAATATACATTTTGAGTTAAACACCATCAATTGAACCACTAGCTTTTACTGTCATTAAAAGAAGTATATTAAAAAAAGAAGAAAAAATATCTTAAAACTTCAGCTTTGCATAGTGTTCAGTTAGATCCGGCACAATACTTCTAAAAAAGATCTTTAATAAATGCTGCTTGGTTTGTCTTGATAGAAGAAACAATATTTTTGCAGCTAATTAACCAGCGTAACATTGTGCAACGGCTTCCAAAAATAATTTCTGTTAAACTTCTTCACCTTTTGTTGCCAGTGTTTCCAGCACAAGGATTTTGTTCTGTATTTATTGTCCATTGAAAATAAAATGCCTTCTGTCATCGTGACATGTTTGTTTTTACTGATTAGACATCAGTGCACTTTCCTAGCCATTTAACAGCAGCAAACTCTTGTCTTGTCCAACTGGATTATACAGTGGGATTATTAGAGGATAAGCACCCACCTCCATCAGTCAGTATGTAATCAAACTGTCAAAATAGGTACAATAATTACTTTTACATTAAGAAAAACTGCCTCACATTTAACCTCAGACGTTAAAAATGATGATAGTAATAACAATTAATATTGATTTGGCCACAGTGTGTGAAAATGGTTGTTGGTCCTCTTAATGTCATAAAATGCCAGACAGCTCAGATGAGTCAGCAGGATTCTCACCTCATAAAGCTCTGAATGGAATAATGTGGTCTCTGGTTCTTGAGCTGCACTTCAATATACCCCCCTCTGCGTGTTCAGGCTCAGAGGGACATCATCTTTGAGCTTCGAAGAATTGCCTTCGACGTGGAGAGCGAGCCCAACAACGGAGGCAGCATCGAAAAGCGCAAATCCATGTACACCAGGGACTACAAAAAGCTTGGCTTCATTGTAAGTTTGACGTGTGTGTGTGAGGTCTTTTTTTTTTTTTTTTTAAGAGCTGTAGCAGAATAATTTAAGCTAAACCTACCTTTGCTTGACTTAAGCCTGGAGCATTTTGGGGGGGGTGTACTAAACCTCCATGCTTATGAACTCATGTGCTCAATAAAAATGAGGTCAATTGGACTGCCTCGTTCCTCCCCCTTAACACTTTTACGCTTCCATTCAGACACAATAAAAATGGTCCTCCACTCATGTAATAAAACGTCAAAAGAAGATCATAATACCATTGTACCAATTAGCAACTTTTTCAAAAGACGGAAAGTAACTTGAATAGTGTATTTTTACTGCACCATATTTTTAACTTTGACTTGAACTATATTGTTTTGAAGTAAAACTACTCTTGAGTAGAAGTTGTGTTTACTTCACTCACCTCTAATAACTTGTATATAATGAAGACCAAACCTGATTTAAGCAAAATGCTACAAACAAAAATACACCTACAATTTCTAATCTTGCAGATCAAGTTAACATACAGTAACACTACATACATATTGTCACTGGAGGAACGTCATGCTGTTCTAACTTACTTGTTGTTGCTGTTATAAGTTTGTTTTATTTTTTATTAAAGTGTTCTTTCTTCCCCAGCAGCTGAAAACTGAACTAGTAATACTTTGCACACTTTGTTTGTCTTGATTCTTGGTTGGCTGAGCATAAAATGACAAAGGTTCATGATTAAGAGTCAGTCGTGTGTTGAGCGTCGCTCTGTATTTGTGTTTTCCTAGAATCATGTCAATCCAGCTGTGGATTTTACCCAGATTCCTCCAGGCATGCTGGCTCTCGATAACATGCTTTACTTTGCCAAACACCACCAGGATGCTTACATCAGGGTAAGCGCACACGCATACACACACACTCACATACACACAAAGTGGAGTTGTGTTGATGCATCCTGTGGATGGAGCTGTGAATGTTTTTTTTTTTTTTTGCTTTTTTTATTTTAGGTGTTTGGTCTTCTCTATTTCTATCAAACATTTCTTTTCTCTATCTTTGTCATTTCTTTTTCCTTTTTTGAAAATGTCAAACCAACAAAACTACAATTAAATGTTGCTATAAAAATGTTACACTTGCTCAGTAGAACTTGATTTCAAAACCACCTTCTCTGCAGAAAATCTGACTTATTTGAGAGTCTTTATTATCATGCTAACATGGCCGCAACCCCAACACCCCGATAATTTTCCTATTAAATCTGTCACCGCCTGAATAGGCCGAGACCTTCATGCCAATTTGCCTTCACCCTGATGATACAAGTGTGGGCTTTTCATACATTTGCCACTGACAGCATGACAAAAAAAAATGCATCATTGTACACTTTTCCTCCTCCTCCATTGTTACACCACTTCTAAAAGGAAGTACTATCATCCACAAGCCTCAATGAATCTGCTGGAAATTTTCTGTGCTAATCCAACAATAATGTGGAAAGTGGAAGAAAAAACTGCATGATTTCCAAAATGTATCTGTTTTTTTTTTTTACTTCAGCCTTCTTTAGTTTGAGACACTTAAATGAATTTCAATGTAGCCAATTATCTTCTAATTGACAGCTGTTCAAATGATCTCAGCATAAATCCAACAGTTCTGAAAAGACAACAAACATTTTTTTACATATATACAGTACAGACCAAAAGTTTGGACACACCTTTTCATTCAATGAGTTTTTTTTATTTTCATCACTATTGACATTGCAGATTCACACTGAAGGCATCAAACTATGAATTAACCCATGTGGAAAAATGTACTAAACAAAAAAGTGTAAAACAACTGAAAATACACCTTATATTGTAGTTTCTTCAAAGTAGCAACCTTTTGCTATGATTACTGCTTTGCACAGACTCTGCATTGTCTTGATGAGCTTCAAGAGGTCGTCGCCTGAAATGGTTTTCACTTCACAGGTGTGCCCTGTCGGGTTAATAAGTGGGCTTTCTTGCCTTATAAATAGTCATAAAAATAAAGGAAACCCATTGAATGAGATGGTTGTGTCTGAACTTTTGGTCTGTACTATACATAAAATTCTAATTCATTTTCTTGTGGCATGTGTGAAGAGGTTGGCTAAGTGAAGAGTCTGCCCTTTAAAATGACATGCTGAAGGAAGGGAACAGGAGCAAGAGCAAATGAATGAAACAGTCTGGGTCAAAGGGCCTTCAAATGTCTTTTCACTTGAAGAAATTTCGTTCCCCTTTCTCCATCATGTGGATTTTCCAGATTGTCCTAGAGAACAGCAGCAGGGAAGACAAGCACGAATGCCCGTTCGGCCGCAGCAGCATCGAGCTGACCAAGATGCTCTGCGAGATCCTGAAAGTCGGCGAACTTCGTAAGTCATCATCAGAGATGTCCAGAGATCACATGTTTACACAAATTCCTCATGACAAACTTTGGAGCTCTCTGCTCAATGTACTAGAGAACAAAACAAAATCTCTGCCTATTTTCACTCCACTTTTTTAAATGGGCAGCTTGTTCTCAGCTCTGCTCCAGACTGACCCCTGCTGCTCCCGGTGGGAATGGAGGAGGCAATTTTAGCTTCTGTTTTTAGGTTGACGTGCCCTTTTCCATAGCTCTTGTTTTATTTTTATTTCTATTTTCCAGGGAAATGTGCTGCAGGAGCCATTTGATGACTCTCTAAAACATGTCCCTCATTTATTTTTAAGTCCTGAGTGAATTTTGGCTCTAATGCACCTCTGGCTTTATAGAAGATGAGAGAACTGCACTAATTATTATAAATCTACCCGCCTAAAGACAATCAGTTTCTGAATAGAGGATAGTTGGATACATTTTGTATGTTTTCATGTGCTTTCCAAATGTATTTTTTCCTTTTTTGATTTTCTCTGTCAGTCATCTGAGCTTGTTTTTTTTCCTAATATTTCATTTATTTATGCATGTTATCCTTTGCTGCAGAGCTCAAGTTTTTTCTTTTTTTAAAATTCATCTTCTTTTATCCATATTCGAAATGCCCCTGTGACTCTTTCTTCTTGCAGACTGAAATTTCTTTCCTTTAAGTCTTAAATGATAATAATTCGAGAATTGCTTTGTCCTCATTCTTTCTATAAATTTTATATTTTAAGAAAGCCTTATTTTTTTAACAACTCTCCTGATCAAAACTAAAAACGCTGAGTGAAGTATATGCTTTTTGTTAAATGTAACAGCTATGTAACAGGTTATTGACATTTTGTTGCTATGATAAAAACCTCAGCAGAATAACTGCCCTGACCTTGACTTGCTGTTCTGAGGTTTCCCCTGGTAGTTGCGCTCTGTGCTGCGTTTGTTATTTCAGTCCATAAATATTAATTATAAGCTACAGCGTGTTTTACAATTGTTTAAACTGACTGTAAATAGGAACCCAGGATCTTCAAAGAATCATTTGTATAAGTGCATAATTTGCCAAAAAATGATCAAATATGCACTTTGAGTGGTGTGAAGTATGCCATGTGAAACAAAACATGTCAATGCAGTAAGACATAAAAGAGAATACAGCGAGTTTGTTTTATTGGATGCCAAATCTTTAGCATTTGATCCAATTCTATCTGGGCTTGAGTTAATATTTTCACAGAACTGGACCAGCCTCTCTGACATGCTCTCCATCATTTTCTTTGCTGAAAGTTGAACGTGTTCACATTTTGTCTCAGTGCATTCATACACTACCTGGAATTTACTCCCTTTCCAGGTTGCAGGTCATAGTACATACTTACAAAGTGGAATTAAAATGAAACCTGTGTTTCAAGAACTTTTTTTTGCATGAATTTGCATTCGTCTTAAAAGTCAGTACTTTGAACATCCCTCAGTGCAATTACTGCTACAAATCTACCAATATTGTTTATCCTAAGGCAGAAATAATTTATTCTTTATAAAATTCTTCATCTTGTCTGAGACTGGACGGATAGTGTCTAAGAAATATCACTTTTTTTTCAAGTCTGAACTTTGTCTGGATCACGATAACATCAGTACGTTTTGACCCAAACCTTGTAGTTCTGGCTGCATGTTTAAGGTTGTTGTTTTGTTGCATGGTGAGCCTCCAACAGGATTGACCTTGGTTCTGACTCCACCAGGTTTTCCTGTAGGTACATTGTGTTCAGCATGAACAAACACCATGAAGGTCAGATCCATCCTGCAGCTCCTCCAGAGTTACCGATCATTTCGGCTGCTTCTCTGATAAACATTCTTTCTTTGCCTATTAGTTTAGTTTAAGTGGATTGCTAAGTTTGTGTCATACTCTTTTGATTTTTGGTGGCTGGATTAAACGGTGCTCTGTGAAATACCCAACACTTGGCACCCTGTTTCTTGATCTCCATGATGCTCTTTGATCCCTAACAAACCCTAAAGGCCTTCACAGAGCAGCTGGATTTATTCTGCGATCCTGTCACACATGCATACATTAAAACATACTAATGAACTACGGAGTCGAATGGATGTTGCGTAGGCCAAGGGAGCAGGTGCTGAGGGAGTAACACCGGATCATTTATGGCTCTGCTCCTTTGTGTGTTGCTCTGTGAATATGCAGCATGTGTGCTGGTGCTTCGGTGTGCTCTTCCCAGAGGGAAGATGACAAGGGGAATGAGTCCCAGCTCCACATTGAAACTGTCATCATTCAGTTGACCTTTCCGTGGGGAAACGTAGAAACTCCTGACACTAATGAGGATGTTGGAGGCTGTGTCTGTCTCTCTGTAGTGTTTTATCAGTTTTGATAGTGTCCTATTTAAGTTGGCACTCTTTCTATAGTAAGGCACAAGAATAACATTTTAAGAGAGTGACTATTTTTTTACTTCCAATGTTCACACTGCAGAGAATACATTTTCTATATTTCTTGATGATTATGGCATTCTGGTATTTTTTTATTTTAATTTTATCTGGGGCAAATCTATGAGCTAAGATGAAGGTAGATGGGCTGTTCAACTTATTGCATAAATAAACAGTGACACAGAGTTTCTTGAAGACTTAATCTATGCAATAAAAAAAAAAAAACCCAACTTGATTCTGTTAAAGTAAAAGTTTCTTAAAAAAAAACAAAATTCCAAACCCCTTTGAAGTTTGTTGGTCTTGTTTCCTTGTACTTCATCGCTTGTGGATAAGGACAGAAGAAAGAGACAGCAGATGAATGTTGACGGCGCTGACGTCTTTCTGGCTCGCTTCTAAAATGTTCGTGTTTAACTCTGCTGCTCATGCAATCTGTTTTCATTCTCCAAAGAATCAAACTCTGAGGAATTCTGGATGAAGTGGATGAAGCTCTTATGGCTGTATTTCTTTTCCTCTTGCCTCTTCATGCCTTTTTTCCCCCTCTGGATTGTCAGTGTTTACTTTCAAGGCTTCTAATTTCTTTTTAAGGAAATACAAAAATATGTTTCTTTAAAGTTGATGAGCGTCCTACCAGTGCAGCATTCAAATTTCAATATTCCCCTTGTTTATCTAATTACTTTTGGTGACATGAGCTAAGCTTTTGTATTTGAATTGGATGTAAGTGGTCTGAGTCTCTAAATAATTCATAACACACTGCAGGTATCTCTCTCACCTCCCTCCATTAAATCATACTATTTTCCCCCTCACATTTGCTGATGCCCTGCCTCAGATCCCTGAAAGATTAATTGTGTCACCGTGTTTCTGCTGGAACACGGAGCTTAATGGAATCTGCGACTCGCCGAGCCACGTCTTCTCCGACTCCCCGGGTTTAAGTCGGCCTATGTAATATTTATAAAGTTATTTTGAAAGGGTCAGACATGGTGAGTAATGGCCCTGCTTGGTGATTCACAGTGTGCCGCCTCAGCAACGGGGATAGAGAGCTGGGTTTGGTGAAGCACGGCAGGTCCAGCCATGCAGAGAGACCCGTCCACAGATGTGTATATTCACATGAAGGCCAGAGATCCGGCAGATCCGGCAGAATGGAAGCTCACAAAAACAGTCGAGTCTGACAGGAGCTCTGGGTGAACCTTGATTAAGTCATGGCCAGATTTTTAAATAACTACCCAAGAATAACTATTCTTTAAAAAACTACCCAACAATTCTCACTGTCAAATCCATCCAGAACAATTCACTAAATTATCCATCCACTTAAACACTCCTGCAGTAAAGATAACATGAAAGCCCAAGATAACCATAACAAAATATTTATCCAAGAGTCCAGTATTATAAAATTAGACCAGCATTCTTGATTTGGATCAATGCTTAGTCCTGACAAGAACATTATTATGGATCTCTGGTTGGTGCACTTGTTAATTTGTGAGGATGAAGTAGAAATGGTTTTAGTTTTGATTAATTAGAATACCATTTTAAAAAAAAAATAATCAACGCCATATCCCGATGCAACCAGTTTTGCAAGCTTATGTGTGTGTTTCTCAGAAATAAACGTGCGCTGCATCCAAAGCCATGAGATGACTCAGCTATCCAAACTTACCGAGCTGACAACTCTCTCTGTAATTAGATTTTTTTTTTTCTATGGCAGCATCAAACCTTCGCTCACACACTCCTACACTCACATAAATATAACCATTGAAAAGTGTCCAAGTGTGAGATGAAAATATTGTTTGGACTGGCCCGCTGTGTCAGATGCAAAATGTGTGAAGTTTTGCGAAACTCGCCACAAACATGCCATTCACGCAGACTTTGGGTCAAAAAGGCATTTTTGTCTGGTCTGGGACTCATTCTTATTATTATCTCCACTAATAAGATTTACTATAAATAATAATAATCCAATTCTCGATTTATATAAAATTATTATTATATAACCCTAAAAAAACCACTTAACTGAATATTGGTTATTTTTTGGTGGTAGGATCTCAGTATTTGTTTTTTTGTTTTTGCAAGTAGTTTCAAAACTTGATTTTAAATCAGGAATTAATGTTTCTTAATATGTTTCACTGAAGATTCAAAGTAAAAATTTCTATAATATGGTTCATGAACTGATGAAGAGCGGATTTTGCCGAAAGCTTTGTGTGACTCTCTAGGGTTTGTTTTTTTTTTTTTAGACAAAATATCTGTCTAATGTGTAAACAGTTGTGGTCAGTGCTAGCAACTCACCATTAGCTTTGAAGCTGATCTCTTATGAAATGATTAGGTTAGAGCTGGGAGTCCTTGTTACAAGTCTCCTTCGATTAATCACGAGCAGAGCGGCTGATGGCAAGTGGAGTGAAGGCCAAGCAAAGCACTTGCCAAGTATCCTTCAAGCTGCAGCTTGGCCATCATTTTGGCACTCGGCAGCCACTTCTCTCTGAGTCTGTTTGAGGTAAAGCTTTCCTCTCCGACTTTTTGTGGGTTGCTTCATTTCAGACATACCAAAAAGGGAGTGATCCAAAACCAAACTGCACATAACATAATTTAAATACTGCGTCT